GACCTCTGGGTAATGCTGTGGCGGGTAGTGTTGCATAGAAGACCTCTTAATCCAGGGGGCGAATGACGTTGCTTTCAGGCATTTTGGCCCTTGCTAGTGTCTAATTTACAGAGCAACTGGGGCTTGACCACGTTTTTAGATATGTGTGCTTTGCTGAGGTCTTGGAGGACTGTTGGTGTCTTCAGATTATGCCTTCTTTTGGAGTTTGTGACTTCTTCAGTACTCACACTGCAAACCCTGTTTGAAATGGCTTGTGCTGATAGGTAGAAACTTTTAATTATTTCTCAGTACAGTGACATCCTACCTGTCAGATGTGTTTGCACTCTATGGTCTTTCATCATTGTGCAGTAGAGTATGCCTTACAAGAACTCCAAAGGTCATACCACAAGCTTAGTATTGTGGTTCAACAGTAATTACAGTGCTTTCTGACTTGGCACTGAAACCCCATGCAAATATATACACTAAGGATAAGAAAACAACTGCTGCATATGTTTAGATGTCAGACTGCTTACTTGTGCACATATATGAAAGCAGCTGCTTGCGGTAAGTACTATAAGAACTGAAGACGAGGTTCTGCATAAGAGGACTAGGTCACTTTAAGATTACAGCCCCCCCTGCACCCTAATGTCTCTTCAGAAGCTGTTAATATAGCCTGTGTCTTCAGATGAGGCATATTCTGGTTAAGATAAAAGGCCTTTTGTTATCATATGCAGTATAAAGTAATGTTATAGGTAGTGGGTCCCCGTTTTCTCCAGACTAGTGCCCTTTCAGCTGTCTGCCCCATTCATTTATTCATTCACCCATCCACATATAAATCTGTTGTGTTGGCAAAAATACAGTCCATTATCCAGATTCAGGAATTAATCAAGTCTGGAAATGCTAGAAGTGGAAAATCCTGGAATGTTTTGGTTTCTGATATGAGATCCATGGTAAGATAATCCTAGACGGCTGAAGGCTTAAGCTCAAGACCTGCTGAATGTATCCAGAGGCGAATCCCTGCTCTCTCACTTGCTTGTAGTATAATGAGAAAGCCATAGTGATGTCCCCAGAGTGTGTAGCTAGCAGATGGATCAGTGTTTGGATTTAATCCCTGACTGTGACAGATAGGTCTTCTCAGTCATATGAGAGGCCTGTGTCTATGTTCACACAAGCAGGCAACAAAGTGACAGGTGGCCGGTTGTTTCCTATGGGAGCGCATGATTTGTAGGTGCCATTTAGCGACAAGCGGCAAGTGACGCTGCAGCAGAGCGACAAGTGACAAGTCGAATTGAAATTTTCTCAACTTTATGCAAATTAACTATGATGTGGTGAAGCAATAATCTAACTGATTGGCTCAAACAAAATCCTCGGGACAACTGTAGACAGGGGGGTCCGAGGTTCCCAGCCTCTGCCCCCGGAACTTTTTGTTCCTATTCCCGACGGTATTGCGTCAAAAATGGAAGACAAGCATATAAACCTGCAAACGTATAACAGTGGTTCATGTTTTAAACAGAACAGTATATAAACAAAAAATGCATATTTTTACATTTTCTTGTCAGAAGTTCGACAGTGTACACACCCACTCACGACAACGAGAACACAAACACACACACAAGAGACAAACTTGAGGTGGTGTTAGCGATTTGTCCTCTCTTAATGTGAACATACGGATAGCAGGTCAGCGGCGACCTTTACCGATATGATAATGGAACAAAATTAAAAAATGCAATACATTCTCTGTTTTCTATGTAGAATATATACTACAAGTATACACAGCTACAGTCTTTCAACTGAATAAATATAGTATATAGGCACTCACACAATCAATACAGTTACAGGCACTCTACTCAACATAAAGCAGATCAGTTTCAGTGTCATCATTACAAGAGGATTATTGTGCATAATGACCAGTGGGACACATAGCAGTGGTCTTACAGCTGTCAGCACCACTGGCCCATAATACAAGCTTACATGGAAGACAGTGGAATATGTGAATTCATTGAGAAACCAAAATGAATCTGACTCCCCTAAATCCTAGGCACTGTATCAAAGTGCAAAACCCCACTACACTGATATCTGTATTCACAGAGTTGCTTTTGGTAGCCATACACATTAAATATTAGGACCAAATATTTTTTCATAGTATTGAATTATTGGATTATGTAATAAAACATGTGGCTAGAGAATTGAGGACCGTTGGCATTGGTGCTTCCTCTTTACCATGGAGACGCATCCGTCCTCTCAATGACCCTTTTTTGTGTCCAAAGTGTCTTGCACTTTGTTTAGCTTTAAATCAAAAGCAACAGCAAGGTGAGACCACAACTCAAGGCCTCCCTATGTGACTCTCCCAGCTCTAAACCTGACACTTCACCTTCACCTTCCCAAATAAGTAATCATGGGCACAGTCATGTGCAGTCCTTCGTGTGTCGACGTGGTTGACCTCCCCTTTCCGAGCCTGCCCTCTCTGCTATCAGTGTCGGCCCGCAGTGGGTGCTATGGCTCTGAAAGACGAGCTGAAGAGGAGAAGTCACTCTGCTTTTGTTTTATGCTCCCCTCATCACTCCGACCCCCCGCCTCCCGCCTTGCTGGCGTCGCTTCAGTGGAGACACATAAAAGCTCTTATCAAATATTGTCTGCGCTCAGCCGAGCGTGGCTCTCTGATCTTGACCTGTCGCTGTCCGGAGCAAGAGGTGCCATCTAAGCGGCCGCTGTCTGCCCGGCCGGGAGAGGAAGTGGGAGGGTGCGAGGACCCCTCTGGGCCTTCCACGGTCACTGCCTGCCTGGTTGGGATGCAGGTTGCGGTTTGCTGGTAGAATGTCTAAGCGGCTGCTTACTCTTTCTATCCCCCAGAAGAGCTCTTCGAAAAGCCCTCGCTCTCACATTGTGGAGGAGCAAGACTGATGCTTTTACAATGGTGCTGCTTAGCTCAGTGTGCTAAGATTTTCTACTATAGGGCTCCTAGCTGTGTTAACAAATCATTTCAGAGTAGGAGTGCCAATCTACGATCAGATTACACTCTCTGTTTATGGTGATCCTGGCCACAAAAAAAAACATCTGATCCTAGATAAGCACACCTGCTATCAGACGCTGTATCAGTGTAAGCCTTTGTTGCTTTGCTGCCAAATGTGACACTCGCATTAGCTACACAGGGGCTGGACACCAGGCCTCCTAATTCCTGCAGACAGCAGACGTTGTTACTTTATTGTAACAAATTGATCTGAAACTGCTCTCTTCTGCTGTTTCGTGATAACTGGAGACTGGAATCTTTTTTGCACATTAATTATCTTTAAAATAAATATGACAGTGCCTGCAGAGGATGCTGTGGTTTGTGGGAAAACGAGCTCTGCTCGTGTGTTATGCTTCGTTTCGCTCTATGTATGCATTGCAAACAGCCACCACACAACAGGACAACAGTAATTCAGTTTGCAGCCCCCTAAAGCATAATGATTTCCACCATGGGTGGGGGGAAAACATAACGATCATATATTTTGTTGTTCTTCAGCAGAGTGATGTTAGCAGCTGTTATTCAGCATATAGGCACAGCCATAGTACACATTTAAATGTAATGGGCGACTTGCCACCTGAATTTTAGTGTGTGGTGTATGGCGGCTGTAGATTTAGACACCTCATGAATAGGCTCCATAGGGGATCCATTGTATTCATAAACACCAGCCTATTACCGTGGTTATGCCATACCTCTCAGTGACTTAATTTTGTTCACAAATTGCAGTCCGGCACATGGGCATTGACTCACTCTGGCATGTATAAAGAGCAAGACAATGAAAATGTTCAAAATGTGCTCAGTAATTGCACAGATGCACGGCATTCCCTGTCAAAGGAAATATTGAAGTGGCAGTCGTAAAACAAACAGGGGGAGAATCTTAGAAAAGAAACAAGGCCACTCTGAAAAAAAGGAAAAAAAAACCCACAAAAAAGATAAGCAGGGCCTCTAGTGTGGCGTCTCCAGTCTCCTTAAGCCTCAGTGTTTGCCCATCAAATCTTATTCACTTCATTTGTCACTATAGCTGCCTTTGTTGCTGTATGTACACACTCTAGTTCTTACACAGAGGAGAGAGTTGTCAACTCCAGGCACTTAACCAAACCTGAATGGATTGAGCTGCAGGGCTTGTATCAGTATCTTCCTTCATTCTCTCGGTCTCTCGCCCTGTGGGGATTTTCGCTCTCCGGTCCCACAGAGTAGCTGCAGAAACAAAGCACCTCCTGTAGTTTATTATTCCAGCCCACCACTCGCAGGCCCAGAGCAATCACAGAAATCAGCACAAAGCTTCACTGAACTAGCTAAAGCCCCCCCCCCAACACCCTCAATCCACTTCCCTCAGTGTGTACCTGCTACATGTACAGCGCTGCACGCCCGCACACATTCTGCGCTGCACACAGTGCACACTTATATGTCATATCGGAACGTGTTTAAATCAGCTGTAGGCCGTGAGAGCAATTTAAATAAATGAAAATTAAATTCCGGAATCCGAGTGCCTTTAAATTACACATTAAAAAATGTATGAAGATGATTGGCTTTGAGCATTATGCTGTTGTTGTTGTTATGAAATGAACTATGCCTGTCTTTTTTATGATAATTGGATCTCAAGCACCAGCAAAACTGGCTTTGTCTCTCTGTTCAAAAACATCACTTTATCAAAATGAAGGGGTTCCGCACAAGCAATTTGTCGATTTCTTTAGCTCTTGCATAATAGCAGCTGCATGCATTTCCATTTCCCTCTGTGTTTATGCACAGGGGTTTTAGATATGGGCTTTCTTATGCTGGAGTTGCATGGAACATAGTTCTGACTTATGTTCGTATGTCAGCTCTGACGTCTTCTTTTCATTCTAACCACCTCTGGTTTATTCATGTGTCTGTGTTTGTGGGCTGGAGTTTCTTTGTAGCCTACTATTTCTGAGATAGAAAATGCATGTGCAGGTTTATGGTGGATACTTGCATTGAATTTTGAGCTATACTTTCTCTCAATCTCATTTCTCTCTCTCTCTCCCTTTCTGTCTCGCAGAGGATGAGCTGTAGCTACCTCCTGTGCACCATCCTGCTCTTTGTTGCTGTTTTACTGGCTGTCACAGTAACTGGTACCATCCTCCTGATGAACCACTACCAGGCACCCTCTGGCCCTGATGCCCCGCCTCTCATCAGCACCAATCAGGACGAGGGCAACGCACTGGTGACAGTAGAAAGAGGTGACGGTTCACGCATAAACATCTTCATCGACCCCAACTGCCCCGACTACAACAACAACTTCTTGCGTCTGGAAGGGGTGCAGACATCACTGCTGCACTCGCTTACCGACCACGACACAGATCTGAAGTCAGTGAAGGGGCAGGACCGGGCGCTGCTAGTCAAACTGGCTGAGGAGGTGGCCAAGCTGTCAGCCCACGCCAGCCAGCTGAAGATGGAGTTCAATGCCCTGAGGCAGGGCCAGGGCAGCATTGGACAGGAGATCAACACACTCCAGTCGGAACAAGGCAGGCTCATCCAGGTTAGAGCTGCTCACTCATTTGTTCACTCATCTAATTTACAGACGAATAGTTCCACTGATGGGAGGAGACGGACCAAAACCTGAAGTGCACTCCCTCACTTGGCCTGGCATCAGTCTTTGCCTTTCATTTCAGTAATACAACATAATCATAATAGGCCAGTCACAGTCTGACCACCCTACAAAATCTGCCCCCCCTAAATGTCTGCTCTGAGAGCAACTCTTAGCATTTATCATTAACTGCTACTTACAGAAGTAATCATGGATGAAGATCATATGCTGACTTTACGAAGGGGCACCAGCCATATTTTATCCTGTGTCAGCATTTTACTAAACCCTATAACGTAGTGTAAGATATTATGATTGGAGCACAATATGAACAAAGAGAATGCTAAGCCTCATTGCACATTATGTAGATTAAGTTCCTACTTTATGATTTATAAAGGACCATAAATGCAGTGCTGCAAATCTTTTAAAGTACGAGGTGAAGAGTTTACCTGTAAGACATACACCGATCAGGCATAACTTTATGACCACCTCCTTGTTTCTACGCTCATTGTCCAATTTATCAGCTCCACTTACTATATAGGTGAACTTTGTAGTTCTACATTTACAGACTGTAGTCCATCTGTTTCTCTGCATACTTTATTAGCCCCCTTTTACCCTGTTGTTCAGTGGTCAGGACCCCCATGGACCCTCACAGAGCAGGTACTATTTGGGTGGTGGATCATTCTTAGCACTGCAGTAACACTGACGTGGTGTTGGTGTGTTAGTGTGTGTTGTGCTGATATGAGTGGATCAGACACAGCAGTGCTGCTGGAGTTTTTAAACACTCTGTCCACTCACTGTCCACTCTATTAGACGCTCCTACCTTGTCAGTCCACCTTGTAGATGTAAAGTCAGAGACGATAGCTCATCTGCTGCTGCACAGTTTGTGTTGGTCATCTTCTAGTCCTTCATCAGTGGTCACAGAACGCTGCCCACAGGACACTGTTGGCTGGATATTTTTGGTTGGTGGACTATTCTCAGTCCAGCAGTGACACTGAGGTGTTTAAAAGCTCCAGCAGCACTGCTGTGTCTGATCCACTCATACCAGCGCAACACAGAGAAACAGATGGACTACAGTCTGTAATTGTGGAACTACAAAGTGCACCTATATAGTAAGTGGAGCTGATAAAATGGAAAATGAGTGTAGAAACAAGGAGAAGAAGAAGGTGGTCATAATGTTACGCCTGATCGGTGTATATGGAGCTTCGTGCATATTTCTCGATGTGTGTGTGTGATGTTACTTGTTTGTTTGTTTTGTTGCTCCACATATATTTGCAGAATATTTTCTCATCGCTTACTATTTTAGTCTTGTCTCGCAGCAGGCATTAATTGCCATTGTGCTAAATGTGTATTGAGAACCAGCGGTTCTTTTCTTACTCGATGTGCAATAAGTGTCTAGAGAATTGTCAGGAAGCTGAGCTCCCTTGCTAGAACATTGTCTTAATATGTGTTAGGCATAGTTAATTATCACTGAGTAACACCCACAAAACAAAACAACCCAGAGCTCAATTAACTAAGAGGCGTAAAGCTGTTTTTGAAAACCTTTTCTGAAGCCTTTGTAACAGTCATTTACTAACATACTCCAGGTAGCACTTGGAAATAGGTAAAAACTAATTTCAGAGCTCATATACCACTTGACACTGTAGTGCTGAAACAGCGACACAAAATGGTTTCCTTATGTCACCCTGCCATCGGGAAATGTGTTTTACTCATACAATAACATAAAAGACAAAATAAATTCAACCCTTGCACAATTAAACTAACTTCTATAGCAGATCATTTGCAGAGTTTAGTGCTTTCCTACCTGCAACACACCTGATTCAGTTGAACTGGTATGTGTTGGAGCATGCAATGCTTCGATCCTTCAGGTATGAAAATTGAGCTGAACTTAATTCTGTTTGTAAGAGTTATGCCACAGCTGTAAAATTTAACCTGTAATAGTGTTATTTCCACCCTGGCGCCAGAGACAGCCAGCACTCTAGGAGACAGATGGGACCAGCAGCTCCAGCATTTAGATCAGCGTTTTATGAATTCAGCCATTGAACTAGGCCCATGCTTTCATTAGATTTCTTCAGCCAGGCAATAAACACAAGGCTCTGTCGGTGGTGAGCGAGGCCATCTCCCGTAAACCTTTGTGGTGTGCTTGGTTATTATTTGTCATATTCTGTTGGACTAGCTTTATTATATGGTGTAGTTCCTTGCTTGAAGAACAGCTAAGCTTTAAGATTTTAATACAATAAAAGTTTTCTTCTTGACCACATGAGAAATATTCTGATATTACATTTACAGCCATCGTATGATGATATAAGAGTCTTCAGGATTAAGCTTATTCCTTAATGGTATAAGGTGTATTTTGTTTATGTACTGTACTTGTTTTTAATGCATTTTTTGTATTTAACTCTCAATTTAGTTGTAGCCTATTGCAAATTTAGGCTTTTCCCTTGTCACATAACACTAAAGCTGGTCTGAGAGGGCCAAAGTAGGCACATGTTTTTTTCACAACTCTCAAGCGAACAAGTACACAGCACTGTCAAGCTCCTCTGCCTCTCCAAAGAAGAAGTCTCAGATCCTGACTCTGACATAAACCAAGCAGCCGTGATGTCTGGAGCATTGCCTAATGGCATGGAAAGACAGGGAACCCTCCCTTTCTCACAGCAAGATTTTGCCCAATTGCTTTCTCTTGAGCCTCTGTGCAACACATTCCTCAGCTGGATCCCAAACTATAATTCTGTTCCCATCTCTGCACTGTACAGCTTTCACTGAGTCAGCCACTCAGGCTCTAAAAAAAAGGCAGGATTGGTCATATTTCTGTAAAATGAGCAAAATGAAACTATAGTACCTCCCAGTTATTATGTATTTTTGTCCTTTCTTAATCAATAAAGGGCTCTTCCTAGAGTGAGGGAAATTGCTGAGATGCTAAGTTGCTTTGTCCTCTGGGTGTCTTTGAAGTGGAAGGGGTAAAGCTTTCATTTGTGGATTCCTCACTACCACAAGCGCTGGGTTATTAAAGAAGCGCGAAGACTCCTGCCTCCCTTCTCATTATCCCTCCTCACTGCCAGAAACGCCATAGCCAAGGAAGTGCGCAAACCGGCCATAGTGAATAGTCCCCTTTTCACTCAGTAACCTTAATGCTACTCCAGAGTAACTTGGGTGTCACATTTTCAATTGGAGGAAAGCTGCTATACAGCAGCTAAGTGATGTGTCAGCATTAGGGCAGAAAGTATTACCTAATCCTTCTACATGAGTTACAGCATAAGTACAGTACTGTGCAGAAGTCAGAGACCACATTTCATTCTTTCCAGTCAAAATGGCTGTTAAGTTCAAGATATTCATTTTTCAGCATCAGAAGAAAAAAACAGGAAACATATGTTTAACAGTAAAACACACGGAAGCCTTAACTACTTAATATAATATTGCTTTGTTTCAGTACTTGGTATGTCCACTTTTTATCTTTGTCACAGGAGACTTGCTTTCAGATTTTCAAAGAAATCTGCAGGGATACTTTCCACATCTCCAAAGTTCTACCTTTGGTTGCATTTTCTGCTTCTCTTGATTCAAATAATTCCAAGCACATTCAGTGATGTTGTTGTCAGGACTCTGGGGTGGTCAGTCCATTGTTCTAACAACCTTTTTTTGTCTATTTCCTTTTCTCAGTGAGGGCTTCTTGACAGCTGCACAACCTTGCAGACTCACACTGTTCAGTTGTCTTCTTACATAGAAGGATGGACAGAAACACCTGTGGATTTTTCAGATCTGAAGCAAGAGTGGAGCTTGATGTTCTCCTCTCTCTCAAATCTGAAAGCTTTAAGTGCTGTTTACCTGATGGTGACAGTTTGAAGATCTGGGGGTCTACCAGATCTTGCACAGTTGTTAATAGTCCAGTTTTCTCTAAAACCTTTTTTTTTGAATTCCAGTTTTCAAAACTCCTGTTCTTTATTTATTATCCAGTGACTTTCTCTGGATTACCATATGTCTGGTCTCCTCAGAAGTATCCTGAAAATGAACAAAACTTGTTGTAATGGCAGTTTTGACTGGAATTGAAATATATGAACTGTGAGCTCAGACTTTTGCACAGTACAGTACACTGATAGAAGAATCTTTCAGTAAAAAACATCAGGGGTTTAGCTTTAATACCTAATTGGCTAAAAGTAGGCATTATAATAAGGCAAACGTTGCATTATAATATGCATTAATACAAATCCATTCATATTGTATGCATTAACAGTCCATTTCATACTGTGTGCATTAACACAGTCCATTATCCATTTCAGTCATCAATATTATCTTTGGTATATAATTTTCCATAAATCTTGCATATCATACAAATTTTATGCTTATTTGAATCTACTTTCTGTGGTTCAGCTTAGTGTTAATGTCCATAGATATCAGTGAATTCTAAAAATAAGAAGTATTAGACCATGTCTTATATGAGTGTATGCATTATATTAGATTAACATAACATTCAAACTGTATACATCATCTGTGTTATAAAGTCGGATGATTAACTGGATAATCTCTTACTGTTGATTTCAACAAAAATATATCACTGTTATGTTTATAAGGCTGGTGTTTATGGCCAAAACATTAGCATATTTAAAAAGCTTCCCTAAAAGCTTCCAGTGAACTGGAGTATAAAGTACTTTCACGGTGGTGGTGAAGATGTTAAAGTTCCCAAAAAGGGAATTATGCAAGTGATGTACGGATCCTCTGAAAGCTACTTGATGAATTACTGAATAAAGATGTGATAACTGTACTCTGTTGCTTTGCACCACTGTAGTTCAGGAATGTGAAAACTCTTCTTTGAAAATACAGAGCTGAATTACTTTACTGCAAAAGTATAAGGACTTTATAAGTAAGACGAAATCTAAAAATAACCTCCAGTGTTCACATATCACCCCATTAATCACTGCTGCTCGCTTTTCTATGAGTATTTTAACCTTGGATCAATTTGCTGCTTTTATGGCTGTGTGGCTGCACTGACCGACAGAATGCTTGATTCAGCTGGAGAAGATGTAGCTGAAACCTCTCCCCTTCTCACCCCATTTCAAGTCTTCCAGAGGCTGGGAAATACACAAGTAGGTCACCACCACGGTTGTGGATCTGGCTGCAGATCTGAGGTGGTGAGGGGATCAGTGGAATAAGTTAAAGGAAGTAGTTCACATTCTGTTTTCTAAGTTTAAGGGCATCTCAGGACTGTTCAGCGTGTCTTGAATGCCTCGCTTTGGTAAAGGACAGATTCAAGTCGAGATCAGTCCTGTAGGAGTACTTAACATATCCTCTAGTTAATTATCAGAGTGGCCTCATTAGAACGAGCGCCACGGGTAATTGCCTGGCAAGTCGGACAGCGTGCGTTCCGCTGGTGATAAACCTTTGTCGCCTAGACAACTCGCTTTTGCCCTTTACCTTGGAGAAGTGGCTGGAAAGAAGGAGACTGTTGACTCATCTGTCAGACAGACGATGAAATTAATACGCACTGGCACTTCCCCTGATCTCCTGGCAAAGCCACATCTGTCGTCTGACAGAAATTGTAGTCGCGGAATTGAAAAAAAAAAGAGACAGTACATCTAAACTTTCTTTGACCTCAATAATTTTCGCTATGCATAGAGATGCAGGCAATCACTATTGAATTGGACTGTTGATTCTGGAGGCCGAACCGCAGATTTTGCTCTCTGGAAATAACAGTCCAGGCTACATCAGCCTCGGGCAGTCTGCCTGATCAACTCAAGGAATATTTTGACAGCACTGAGACTAATTTTAAAGATAGAGTGCAAGCCAAGACACAGCATTAAACCAGCTTGACCATTTCCAATGTCCTTGTCTCAACTTATATAAACTGGATATATATTTAGACCACGTCAAACCTGGCAGGGATTTTCAGAGATTTTCTTCAGAGACACTGAAAGAAAACTCGGCTGCTGTATTTTATAATGGCTTGCTTCAGTAGAGGCGTAATGTAGCGAATGTCTTCAAGCCCTCATTAGAGTGGGTGTGCATTAAGCTTGCTTTGTCATGGCCAGAGGGGCTTTAGTCCAATAAAATGTAACAGAGCAAAGCCAGAACACAGCCAGAACACAGTGGGTTGCAGTGAAGGACTTACTCCTTGAAACCAAGATAAGAACAGAACTGGATTTTGCCCCCAAGCATGCCAGTTAGTGATGTCATGATGATGTAGTGATGATGTTTTAATGAGGGAGTCCTTTATATTGAAGGTTAGATGTTTACAGTGGTCGTATTTAGTTGAAATGAAAGACAGTCTGAACGTTTCCATCCATATTTAAATGGTAGATGAGGGAAAAAAAAACCCAAGCATTTTTCAGTCACAATGGCTGGTTAAAGGACGTCATAGAGTTCTGCAAAAGAACAGAAAAAGAAGAAAGTAAGCAGTAACAGACTGTAGAAATCTCTCTGTGTGTTTTCAATCATTCATGCTGTAAGATTGAAAGTTTTGATTGTTCGGCGCGGAGTGCTATTTTCTATTCCATTTCCACCCATGCTGTTGTGTTCATTAATCTTTCCTTCTCCAGTGAACATCGGCCTTATTTTTTTTTTAAGTGAGAGCTATGTTCCAGACTCAGATGCCCACTCTGTTAGGGAGATTATTGATGATACGGGAGGCTGCAGGAAAGCAGCTTTGAATGTGCCTGTGATTAATGGATGCACCTCAACCAAGCGAACTTATTTTAAATAATGTTCAATGCAGCAACAGCAGCCATGAGCATCGTGCTCCACACAGCTGATAGTATGTTTACCGAGCAGGCTGGGCAGCAGAGATATAAAAGCATGCTTTATCTACCAACAGAGGACCAGTAGAGAGGTGCGACCTGAATTATAATGAAAGACATCTAAATCCAGCTCTCTTTTTTCGGTGCTGCACTTAAAGACCCGATCAGGAATGACAGAAACCGCATGCTTGTTGCCTTGGGACTAATAAGAGCAGGGTAAACATATAAGTCTGAACTGGGCTTTAAAAGCACCGTCAGAAATCCTTTCAAGTTTCTGTTTATGGCAAATGTATTATATAGTCTCGTTGATTCTTGAAGATAATTCCTTTTAGATAATTCTTTCCATTAATCTGGAATAATAGGTTTTTCCTGCTTATGAACAATGCGGTGATTGAAGGCCAGGACAATAACGAAGGACTGCCTTAGTATAAGATGGTGTACATAAGGCAACAGGTTCAGTCAGTGGAGCAAAAGCATCAACAGGTGACACTGCCTCTCCCCTTGTGGTCGTCTTGTAGTTTTCCTTTTTTTTTTCCCCTGCTAGTGGGCCAACCTACTCATGAATGACAGGTAAGCATGGTTGCTGTGGCAACGTACGAGGAGAGGGCGTGTGAGATGAATCCGTGCTGAGAGCAGAGAGCGTTAATGTCCCCACTGTCCGCTCAGGAGGTGACCAGCACGTCAGCTGCCATCATCGTCAACCTCACCAACGGCCACACACACTTAGCTTGAAATGGTGCTGCACACAACACTGAAAAAGCACATGCTCCAACTCCACGCTGGATGTTTGTTCATGTATCCCTAGATGGCTTTGCATTTTTCATGTGTCCAGGGGAAAGAGCAGAGCTTTCAGAGATAATTTTTCCTAATTGGTGCCTGGGATTTATGTATACCCACCTGCCCCACATAGTAAGGCACGACTGAAGTGTAGTCTGCGTCACTCAGAGTCAGCGTTTACTGTTGCACCAGACTGTCTAGCAGCAGACAGGCCATAGCAGCTTTGCTGAGACAGACACAAAAAAACTTGGCCGTAAAAACCGAAAGACCTCTATCCCGCTGTCACCTCCCACTGTGCTGAAGCACAGACTGTCTGACATAGTGTAATTTTACATGCTTAAAGGGAATGTGTGAAATGACTGAGCTCTTCTATTTGCATAACGCTAAGTGTCCAGTTAGCATTATGCAAATACAAGGGCTTCACCTAGTGCTCATTTTTAGCCATATGAGCGTTTCTGGTGAGTTTTTTTATTTTTAATGCAATGCCTAGTAATGTATTGTAACAATATAGTGGGCATCGTACTGTGGTAGCAGTAAGGCAGTGGTCACCAACCCTGGTCCTGGAGATCTTCCTTCCTGCAAAGTTTATTTCTAATCACAATGTACAACACCTGCTTCAACTAATTAACCTCTTCAGAAGTCTTTGATTGGCTGGATCAGAAGTATTAGTGTTAGGAAAGGGGGAGGGCGGAGCTCTTAAATGCTGGTTACAACTAAACTTTGCAGGAAAGTAGATCTCACTCTGTTGGTAATGATTGTATGAGAGAGAAAGGCACATTTTGTTTTTTTGCTAAATAATTTTGAAAGCGAGCAAGATTACTCTTTTATACGAGAAACCTACACATCTCTACTACAAATTAAAAAAGTAAAATTTTTCCAGTGTTCTGCAAACATGACAGCTCACCCCATGGGTGGGATTATTTGTCACACTCTGAGGGACTAGTTGTAATAACAAATAAATCACAATAAATCACTACAGTTATATACAGCTTGACATAGGTGAGCTTTCAAACCAAAATACATAAAAATATATGCGTCAAAATAAATATAGCTAGAGCAAAGAGCAAATAGCAGCACCATGAAACTGAAGTGCATTTTATTTACATGACAACATATGTTATTTTTTGATGAGTCTGTGCAAAGAAACTTCCAAAAAAACATTTATTGAATTTTACATGGAAGGATGTGGGAAACTATGTTGCCACTATGTGGAACACTGTGTTGCAACTAACTAAATTGTGTTATGTTACAGCCACCAAAAAGGCAAATAAAATAATGTAGGCTTGAGTTCTGTGACATATACACAGCTCAGAAATCAGAAAAAACACTTTGATAAAGAAGTTTCTTCTGTAGTACAAAATTTGCAGATGACATGACTAAAAGCATGTTTCACTTAAACCTAATTAATTACATGATATATCCATATTACCCCATGTTATCCAGTTCACCCTATGTTAGATTGTTCCCTGTTCCTCTCTGTTGTTTGTAATAGATTCAATATTGTGTACACTGTGAAGCATCTAAGTTGCTGATGCAGTACTGTAAATATACAGTTTAGATTTTACATTACATATTTTATAGTAATTTGACAACAAAATCACAGTAACTATTGTAAAAAGTATGCTTCTGTACATTTACAGTAATAGTTCACATGTTTTTACAGTGAAAGACTAAAGAAGGTGTAATAACATCATATACTTAAATTTTTAAAAGAACTCACACCTCAACATACTGTAAATTACACGGTAAACTGTTAAGGACAGACATGAGCTCACAGACTTTACAGCAAAATATGATAACATTAAAACTTTAGAAATTATTTACTGTAAATTTACAGCTATTCTTTACAATGTAGTGAACACAGATTTTATTGCCTACAAAAGATTTTTATTGTAATTGTTATCACAAGGAAACCAGCAGCACCAAATAAGATGCCTCATTACTTCATGAATCCTTGAATGATTTGTCTCTCTCTCCCTTCCTCTCTCTCATTCTCTCCAGCTGTTGTCGGAGAGCCAGATCAACATGGTGAAGGTTGTGAACTCAGTGAGCGATGCACTCAACTCTATGCAGAAGGAAACCGGCAATACGAAGGGGCGCCTGAAGGCGGATCTCCAGAGGGCTCCAGTCCGCAGCATCCGGCCCAAGGGCTGCGCCAACGGAGAGGGTAAAGAAACTCCTCATTACCCTGCCATCTTCAACCGGTCAACCAGCTGTAATGAGCCCTACAGTGGATTCAGTCTCTCTATAGACTACCCTTCTGCTGGCCTCTCTCTGTGGGCTCTTCAAGTCAGTGACAGAGGCACACAGAGATGCCTCTGCTTAGACTGCATGTGCAAGATGACACATGTCGAGGCTGCTGTATTTAAAAAAAAGCCTTTTTTCTCTCACCTCAGATGCACTGGCTGGGAGAAAAGTGCTGCATAGAGTTCTTAATGTGGATGATGATGATGTTGGCATGTCCTGTTTCTTTTTCATAGGCTCCCGACCGAGAGATTGCAGTGACATCTACGCCAGTGGACAGCGGGAAGACGGGATTTACTCTGTGTTTCCCACACACTACCCTGCAGGCTTCCAGGTCTACTGTGACATGACCACTGATGGAGGTGGCTGGACGGTGAGTGGCTGCTTGTGTTCGCCAAACCAGTGGTTTTAATTCCTGGCACTGTACAATTTTGTATTGTCCTTGGACTAACACACTTAATTCAGCACATGAAAAGGCTTGATAATTAACTTGATAATTAGCTTTTTACTGCAGGGAAGACCTTAGACCATGAACCATGCAGTGAAGCGTTTCTCAAACTTTGGCTCTGTCGTCCAGCACATCACATTTGAGATGAAGCATTGAATGAGGTTAAAACGCAGAACATTAGCTTTAATTCATGGCTTTTTACATTGGTAATGGGTGAATTTAATAGGAATCACAGCGTGTTTCCCCATACCAGGGTACATGTAAATGGGCAAAACAAAAGTCTACATAAAATGATCACATTGCCAATTCTTTACAATCAGTGGTTGCCTGAAGTCTCATATCCCAAGACATCACCACATGCTGGCTATCTTCCATGGTGATGCTCTGCCAGGCCTGGCATCTGGCCATTTTAGGTTCCCACTTGTGTCTTAGCCAGTTAGAAGCAGTACTGCAGTAACTTCTACTGCAGGAATGATCCTGAACATAGAAGAAAACTTCGTAGTTGCTTTAGTAGTATGTCCTGAGGCAGTGTCCTGGTATAAGACAAAGTGTCGTCCACTTAGTTTGGAGGAGTCTGGTTGAAACTAGACAATTAAAATGCTTTTTATGCACTTCAGAATTCATCCTGTTCTAAACTTTGGTCCCATTATGACCAACACTATCACAAATTTCAAAGCCGTGGGAAAATATCTTGGTTATAGTGACCAAGGTCATTTACAAACCCCACTTTGGCATAATAGGAATATAAAATCTAGTACCAAACCTATTTAATTCAGAGGGGAGGTTAAGCTTTGAAAATTTAGTAACAAACTTCAATATACCAAGATCTTCCTTCTTTTTTCATTTACAATTACGTTCAGCCCTTAAAGCATACGGAATTCCATGGGGAACAAGCCTCAAGCCACATCCAATTTATAGCTGGGTTGTTAATGCGCCACCACGTGGTCTTGTATCAACTATACTCACCTTACTGAAACGTTGTATAAGAAGCTCCCAATTCAGTCTATCTGGGAAAAGGAACTATCTGTTAATTCAATTGATTGGAACATAGTATGGCGAAATATATTTCATGCATCAGAGAACCCCAATCATCAACTGATCCATTTTAATTATTGTCATAGGTTATATTGGACACCACGAAAACGCTTTCTTACAAAAACTGCAGTACATCCCTACTGCAACTATTGTCCACAACAACCAATGGGAACTTTTTTGCACATGGTGTGGGAATGTGGGGATGTTAATGACTTCGGGATAAAGGTTACTACCATATCATCTGCCCTGGTTGGACAAGAAATTCCCGTGGATCCAGCTGTATTATTGCTAAATGATGACTCCAATTTAAACTTAACAGGCAAACAAAGGAAGATGTGACTTGCTGGTTTAACATCGGCTAAAAAAATTATTGCACAGAGGTGGCTTCACCCACATAATCTAAGTGTACGACATTGGCTATTTCAACTGCATGACATAGTCATGTTAGAGTTGGCCACAGCTAGGATTAATAAAGTTAAAACATCTACTCTTGAGACATGGAAACAGATTTGTTGTGATGTGACAAAAAGATTGGAACAAAGGCTATGAGGTACATCTTGTAAACTAACATTCTTTTTTCTCTCTTTTTCATTTTATTTTTGAAATGTCATCCTTTGCACTAAATCTTACTTACTAAATAGTATAAAGTATGTACAGGAAACAGGGATGGATGGACCTGTGGGACGGGGATGATGGGGTGGGTAAGGTGATTTCCTGCAGTTCTGTAATGTTGTGATAAAATGCTGCTTGATTAACAGGAAACAAATTAAAAAAAAAAAAATTGATCACAAAAAAAAAAGAATTCATCCTGTTACTGTCGAGGCAGTCACGTCACAAACCCAAGAGAGTCCGTTCCAGTAATACATGCCTAAGTCACCATGTTTCACAGTTGAGGTGATATGCTTTGGATCGTGAGCTGTTACTTTTTTCTTCACACTTTCCTCAATCCAGCTCTCTGGATCTGGTTTGTCTATCTCTTTATCTACATCAATAACACGTTGTCACAGAACTCTAGAGGCCTTCTGTGAACTTTTTTGTTAACATTTTTGAACTTCTTCTTATCTGTGGTGTGAATCTTCTGCTACACCCTCTACTCTGAATGGTATCCTATGGCTCTGCTCACACCTGTTTAAGGTGATCTGATGATATGTGGACTGTGCTAAGAACAGGTGTGAATGGTATCCAATGCACCTTGGAGAGACATTGTGATCCCATCACTTAAAACACCTTCGAAAGTGCCCACATAGCATTTTGTAGCGTGAACGCTAAAGCGACTATTTTAATCAGTCATCACAATAGAGACGGAAGAAGCTTCTTTCTGTTGCATCTTCACATCTTCGCCATTTATTAGAACATTGTGTTATCAATCCTTACAATCTTAATGTAAGCATTGACATGCAGGGCATTTTTTACTGACAGCAAACACAGTGAGGTAAAATGTGTATGGTACCTTTCCACCTGTCACAAAATCCAATCGCAGATGGTCGCTGGAAATGCATTCAAGATCATAGAAGTGCTAGATGATGCAACCAACTATGCATTTTGCTGAGATGGATGTGAATGTCAGGTTTGAGCAGGGCCTATGACACATCTGTACTTAGATACTTGAGTGTGTTGGTATTTTATAAGACCAGTTTTTCTTTACAAGTGAAAGCCCTCTTCTCTCATCTTGTAGTATAGTCTTCTGTGGTTAGGCAGGCTACTATTGCTAAGCTCATAAGTTTTTGCTTCTTTACATTATACCAAACAGTTGATTTTAACACTCTGGCACTGGCTTTGATATATTGTGATTTTTTTTAGTCTCATGAATACTTTGATTCTCATGTTGAGAGAAACAGCAACAGACTCCACAATCAACCTTAACTCATGTACAATCATCTGTAAACTCTATATAGATATAGACTTTTTTTTTAGCTTTCTAATGCATGAACTAATGATGCAATGACACTCATCTTGCCAAGAAGCAAATGAGCAGCCAATTTACTGCTATATTTTGTCCCTTGAAATGGGGGACTACATATAAAAAGGGTCTATTCCCTTGTGGTTTAGCCAGTATAGCTGTAAATACCATTAAATCACTTTGAAATTCTGCTTTTCAGTCTCTTATTCATTGCATAGTGCCAAAAAATCGATCTATGTACAATTTAAGCCTGTGAGATTGTGTACAATTGTTTGATCGTGTACCTTGACCATCATTGATTGACAATAGTATCATGATGGCACGCAAGTGAACGTGCACTGCTATAGAGTGTATTGAATTGATATCCACAGCACTTTTCTCCAGTAACCCATTTCAGCATGGCAGGTAATGTGGTAGCACCACAGAGAAGCCTGCTTAAACAGGAGACAATGAACATGTGTTTCTGCTCAGGAACCTGTAAGCTAACTTGGTTCTTGGTGTGGTTTGGTAGTTTGTGCTGTAGTTTGGAAGAACTTGATGTAGCCTATCAGTTGCGTCTTCTTGTAGTAGTAATACGATCAGATCTTATTGTGTTAAGTCAGTCTATAGACTACTATTAATCTAGCTGATTATTGTTATCATTCTGGTAGGCTTGGCTGTATTAAGTAATATTTTTAGCAATGTTGACGTAACCATGACGTCAAAATCACTGATCATTTAAGCCTGTGTTAAGCTTTCTCAAGCTAAGACATTCTGTGCATTGAAGACTGTAGACTGGCTTAGCTGTTTAATCAGCTTTCTCATGGTAAAAAAAGAAAAAAGATAAAACGAAAATAAAATGCTGCCTTGCACTGCTATAGAGCATGAACAGGACATGGAATACAGATTGCAAGACAACCATGACTTAATTTTGTGTTTTTTTAATTTGCGTTCTATTGGTGATACTTTTGTCAATCGCCTCAAGCCTAGTGTAATTACAGTTACTTACAGTTAGACTGCAGTGAGTGAATCTACATGAAGATAAACTGTTATTCTCTATAAATGTGATCTTGTTTTTCATATATATTCTGGGGTAAATGTAAGTTTAAATCGCAAAGCAGTAATATGTCATGAGAACTTCAAGTTATTGTATTAAGCTGTGGGCCGAGCCTTGAAGCTGTTTTATTAGGCTGTGGGCCAAGTCCCGAAATTGTTCGTTTTATTGCTCTCTGGCGAAGAACTACATTGTTTTTTGTATTTACATCTGAAATATTTTTGTTAATATGATAAAAAATGTTGGCCATAGAGATTTGCACACATTCTGAAAATGTAAAGTTTAAATTATAGCCTATAAAGGCAAAATGTGGAAAAGAGCATGTTACGCTACACAACTAATAAGATGCTCGCGGATTTAGTTAGAAAAAGAGGCTTTACTGTTTGAAACTTGATCCAAGCTCGTTGTCAATAAACAGGCACAGGTCAAATCCAAAACAATCCAAAAAGGCAAAAAGACAAACATCACAGAAACAGGCGAACAAGACCTAAAGGGCAAAGGCAAAAGTCAAAGTCCAAAGTCCAAAAACACAGTCTAAATACACAAAAGGCAAAAACAATAAAGAACAGGAAAGAAGCAATACCTCACCAATACCTCGCCAACCTAGACGCCCGGGCTCATATACTAACCACTGTAAATCATGTGACAAACAGAACAGGTGTGACAGATTAGGATTCAGGTGAAGGGGAGCGTCCACTGGCTGTGGATGGTTGAGCAGCAGTCACGTGATCTCCAAGGGAGTTCCAGATCCAGAGGAATCTGTGACAGAGAGCTTCAATCAGAGTTCATCTAAAATACAGGGTGATTCAGAAAGCTTCATCCGATTTCAAAATGATTTACTTCACTTGTAAATAATTACAGAACAATGCAGTTAATTGTAAATGGTTTAAGTGAGCATAAAGTTTATTGTGTAATTTTACAAGTGCTCAATATGAACCTCCTCTAGATGTATGGACA